ACATATCCATGGATAGCTAGGATAACTCATATCCCACATATCCATTCTGTATTATGTCCGTACTATTCCCACGGTCACGTGACTTGTAACATAGTTCTTCCGTTCCTGAGTGAATCCCTGTTGTTCCCGTGATCCTGCAGGACAAATGTCCTGTCCTAGCGGCTCGACGCCCAAGTGGGTCGGTTAGCTGTTATCCTTGCATAACGGGTCGTAACACTACTGTCGGATAGCTGACCGTAACATCTCTATAGTACTATTAATATAGAAGTATATTAAACCCTCTTATAGAGTGAATATATATACTTAGTACTTTAATATTAACGCTAGTATAACTAATAAGGCTAGTACTAATAATAGTAGTAACTTAAGTTTATTAGTATTAATAATATTATTATTAACTCTAAAGTTACTAACTAAATTAATACTTAAAGTAATGTTATTACTAACTAAGTATTATTTTAGTAAAATATCTTAATAACTAGGATCAAAAGAAATAATTAAAAAAGTATAGTTTTAGGTTATAGTATAGTTTTAAAAAGGACATTTTTTAGTAATAAAACGAGGAAAATATAGCTTTTATTGAACTAGCTAGAAACCGCCTTTTTTACGTAGAAACCCTGTTTTTCGCCCCCTATGTGAGTAGGGGGAGTTTTGCGCTTAACGTGGCTGACTAACGCCCCTGGGTATCTTATCTCGCAGCATCTTGTATGTCCGGCCAGATTGCGCGTTCAAAGTGGGCACGCACGCATTGAAGAAGACCATGACTCGCTCGATGTTCGAACCGACTCAATTTAATTAGAAATACGGAGACACGCAAAGTCAATTCAAGACGCCAATTGAACTCAAGACATTGGGTGTTTTGTAACTCAAAAGACATCGACAACCGCTGATGTTAAGGTATCTTCATCTTTGACAAAATTGGACTCTTCCAACCCTCAACTCCCCCACCATTGAGGCAACCGCGACAACCAGCTCACACGCGTCTGCTGTTGTCTTCGACCATGGCAACATGCGAAACATCCTTCTCCTCCTCTTGCATCTTCTCATGGAGCCTCTCTTGCACGTCGTGGCGAACTTTCTCCTCCTCGGTGGGATAGGCGCGCTTGAACATGCTCCAGAGAGAATGCTGGAACAAATCATCCATGGACTCGATACTGCGACCCTTCATCTCCGGCAAGCAGAAGAAAACAAATACCGCACCGATGTAGGTCATAACAGCGAAGAAAAGGAAGGTGCCGTAACCCATTGTCCGCAGCATGTGGGGCGTAGCAGAGGTAATGCCGTAGTTTACGATCCAGTTCGTGAATAGACAGCAAGACATGCAGAACGATCGGATACGGGCCGGGAAGATTTCAGCACTAGACACAGTGTTAGAAGAAAATCATGTCTTGTACGCCTTGCGCTGGATCACTTACGCAGTCAGATACGGCGCGACAGAGTGTCCAAATGACCAGCCGAAAGCATAAAGGTAGATCCTTTGATCTTTGTTAGCCCGAACTCGGGTATCATTGAGGGAGACCAGGTATGCTTACATGATAATACCGACAATTCCGCCAGGGGTCGTGCCACTTCCTGCCTTCACATCAGAGAAGCGGATGAAAAGCCCAATGTAGAGCATAGCCGTGGCCTGGATGGTGGCACCGATGATGAGAGGGAGACGTCGGCCGACGCGATCAACGATGACGGTGACGTAGACGATAGTAGTGGCTAACTTGACAACTCCATATACACCGGTCGTGAGGAGAGAACTGGAGCCCTTGGGGACGCCGATCATGGCGAAGATCTGAGGAGCGAAATAGTTGAGCGAGTCGGTACCGGTCAGCTTGTGGAAGAGGAACAACATGATGGCGAGGAAGAGACGGCGACGGTTGCTAGCGTTCGTTCCGATATCCTTCATGACAACAAGGTAGTTCGTTCCTAGACGAGTTAGCAAATCGAAGGCATTAACTCCTCGTGGCACCTTGGCAATTACCCTTGGCGGTTACTTGCTCTGCTTCGACCTGAGCAGTGATCTCCATGTACTCTTGTCTAACATAAGGGTGCTCTGCAGGCAAGCCTCGAAGTTTGCAGAGGTTCTTCAGACCCCTCTCATCTTTGCCTTTCGCGATAAGAGCTCGGGGTGTTTCGACGACAACTGCGAGTTGTGAGGTTAGCTAATGTCGTACTCGAAGTCATTGGTTGGATTGATACTTACACCAGATCAAGACGAAGAGGAAGAATCCGGGGATGAGCTGGATACCAAGAGCCAACTGCCAAGCTTTGTTGTTGTTGGGATCTTGGTTAGGCCAAAGGCTAACGGCATAGTTGACCCAGAAGGCAATCGCAAGAGCAAGGATAATCATCAAGTTGTAGGAAGTGGTAAGAGAGCCTCGAATCGACTTGGGAGAGTTTTCAGCGAGGTATTGAGGGGCCAACTGGAACAAAGAGTCAGCACACCACCAAGAGTGAATGTCAGTCTCCAGTGTTTCTCACCATCGAAGTTGCACCGATGGCGACACCGGCCAACAACCGGCCAGCATAGAGGACGTCTAGGTTGGGCACCTCTTGCATCGAGCAACCAATCAAGAAAAGACCGGCCATAGAAGTCACAGCCTTCTTACGACCGAGATAGTCGGAGAGAGGAGCTGCCAGCAGGGCTCCTGCAGTACCTCCAGCAGCAACTGTTTGATGTTAGGTTTTCATTATCACACGTCGCACTTGTACATCCTGTATACTTACGCATCGCTGCGATATTGCCCTCTGTTCTCAGTGTTAGATACTAGAAGCCATCTCCGAGTTCACATCTGCAGCTTACCTCGCTTGTCGGCTTCCTCTGTATTGATGGTATCAAAACCGAACGCCTTCCGGAAGGAAGGAAACGTCATGATGCCTCCGATGTTACCCTGGTCGAAGCCATAGGAGCAACCGGCAAACGCAATCGTGATGCCCAAAAGGAGTAGTTTCGAGTTGAAAATCTCCCGAGGGTCTTTCTTCCACTCGGGAGAGGCGAAAAGTGAGCCTCCGCCGCCCATGTTCGTAATCGATTCTATCAAATCTTTGGGAGATTGTTGTCGGAGAGGTTAGACGTTGCTTGCGACGGAAAGTCTAACGAACGGTTTCCGGTGTCGTAGAATGAGTTAAAGACAGACTTCGACTGTATCATATATCCGTACTGCCTGAGTCAATGGTTTGCAACGCAACTACCACCCCACGGGGAGAGGGGGCCCCCAGGAGACCAAGAGCCGAACTACCCCGCGTAATCCACAGCGTTTCCTCGAGCCACAACTGCATGGGGAACCATGGGGATCAGCCAATGCAACAGAGTCGGCGAGAAGACCGGTGTCACCAGAACGATCGTCCAGTTGAAAGGCCGCGAATTGCAATGGTTTGATGATCTGGCCAAGTGACCTACCAACAGTCCCACCATCCCCAGATTCGATATCAGGGGGTTTCCGCAACCCCAGGTTTCGTGGGGGCTAGGCAAAATTAGGAAACTCGGCGACTTGTCCTAGACTTCAACCTTCGCCCGTGTGCACACGGCAGCTAAAAGTCGTGGCGCTCCCGGGACATGAAATAGCGGGGCCGGAGTTTCGGCCGGTGGGATCCTGAGTCGCGAGGATTGATGGAAGCGGGGAATGCCTGACGCGGGGCAGGATAGTCACAACTGCTTGGCGAACAGCATCTTGGGGAAATACATAGAAGCGACCGCGTTCGGCCAGGGTGCACTATTGTTGCCGCTGATACAGCAAAGATATCAACAGCAAACGGCATCTAGCCCAAATCAACATTGGAGCTGTATTGACCAAACATTGGCCCACGTTCCTCCACGCTGGTTTCTGTCTGGCACTCTGTCTTCAAACATGTCGTCTTCAACCTTGCATACGGCCGCTATCCCTGCGGTAACGGTCCAGGTGCACGCCTCCAACCTTCTCCAACTACCCGACAAGACTTTGCTGTGCACCTGGTTCGGCGGCTCGCAGGAGGGTCTGCCGGACATTAGCATCTGGCTGTCTCGGCAGGAGCCCGGCTCCGACACCTGGTCAAGCCCACAGAAGATCTCCTCAGACACCAATCGCAGTTGCCAGAACCCCGTTCTCTTCAGAGCTCCAAAGACAGGCGCCATCTGGTTGTTCCACACCTCGCAGGATGCAGGTAACCAAGATGGCTGCTACATCATGTCTCGTACGTCGAGCGATAATGGCGTTACATGGTCAGAGGCACGGAAACCCCTGAAGGGTGTCACTGGTGCATTCGTTCGCCAACCACTATTAGTCCTGGTCGATGGGACTTGGATTCTGCCTGTGTTCCATTGTCGGTCAACGCCGGGACAAAGGTGGATCGGCAACAACGACATTTCAGCCGTCTTCTACTCTCGAGATGACGGTGAGACATGGACTGAAAGTGTTGTCCCTGACAGCGTTGGCGCGGTGCACATGAACCCAATTATCCCGAGCAAGGAGGCCTCAGACTACGTTGCCTTCTACCGCAGCCGTTGGGCAGACAACGTCTACCGATCCACCTCGTCCGACGGTCTCAACTGGACGGCTCCAAAGCCAACGTCCCTGCCAAACCCCAACAGCGGAATCTGCGCCGCTCGTCTGCCATCAGGAAACCTGGCTATTGTGTTCAACCGTTCTGCGGCGGAAGTGGGGATGGCCAAGAGGGAAGGCTTGTACGACGACATCACCCCTGAAGACGACAAGCGCCCCAATCAAGCGGCGGTCAACGGGAAGACGGCTATCTGGGGAACTCCTCGCAAGACCTTGACTGTTGGAATCTCAAGTGATGAGGGTCTGACGTGGAAGGAGAGAGTTCTTGAGGAAGGTGACGGCTTTTGTATGACTAATAACTCGATAGAGAAGACTAACCGGGAGCTAAGCTACCCGAGCATCTTTGTGGATGCAGAAGAGTCTGTGGTGCATGTGGCCTTCACGTTCCATCGCCAACATATCAAGTATGTTAGGATCAAGGACATCGAGAAATGGGTTGAGCAAGCATAGATCGACGCCAACCAACATTGAATACCCCTAGAATATCATTTCTTTCAAAACCTGCGCCGTGGACAAAGCATCAGAAATTCATTGATTGATACCTAGTAATTCTCCTAAACAGGCCTTTGAAACATTTTTAAATCAGGACGTTCCTCAGCTCACACGGAAAAGGGTGTTGGCGACTCGAAGGGAGCTTGCACCTGACTGGAAGCCCGTGACGTCTCTTCCTGTGGGCCTGTTGTTGTTCTACTTATTGGCAACATCGTCCCTGCCGCTTTCATCGTTGCTCCTATTGTCGTCTTCTGTCTCAGTATAGCATGAGGTCTATTCCAGTGCATAAGAAATACGGAAGAATAACAAGCCATGTCGACTAATCAGTAGTTCATGTATCTTTATGGCAGTTATTTACTCCATGACCTTTGCTTCTCGGTCGTTTCCAGAACACCCAATGTCTCCAAAGCCCACTTCTTTGTGGCGTCGCCAAGAGGCAGATACGGCCTCCTCATTTCCCACGACGACTCTTTATCAATACCAATATCACGTCCAAGGAAGTGCCAAGCACCATACTTTGTCAACGCAATGCCCTTTTTGCAAGCCCATTCTGCGTTTGCGACATCAAATTGCAGCTTTTGGGCCTCCTCAAGCTTTCCGGCCGCCCACAGATCATACACAGCAGACGTCGAGCCTGGGAAGATGTTGCCCATGCCAGTAACACAGCCACTGCCCCTAGACTGCAGAGTTGGAAGAAGGTAATCACTGCTACCACCAAAGACACCAAATTGCTCATGGGCAAACTTGCTCGTCAACCTCACAACCTTGCCGACATTTCCGCATGTCAGCTTGACTGCTACAATATTTGGGTGCGACGCGAGAGCGGTCAGTTGATCGGAGTCGAGATCCACACCCGACGTCACACCAGGGAAGTTGTAGATGACGATCGGGATGGGAGAGTTGTCAGCGACGTCGCGGTAGTATCCGAGAATCGCGTCGCTGGAGAGTGCCTTTGCCCAGTAACTCGGCGGCAGCAGCAGACCGAAGTTAGCGCCCGCGCTCGCGGCATCCCTGGCGTTCAGGATGGACTCGCGTGTTGACTGCGCTGAAATGCCGGCAACGATGGGGTAGTCTGGCTTTCCAAGGTCTTTTACTGCGCGAGCGGCGGTCTCGACGATGGCTTTGCGCTCGTCGGCTGTGAGGAGAACGAGCTCGCCGTTGGTGCCGAGATAGACGAGGCCATGCATGCCTGCGCGCACCAGGGCCTGGCACTGCTTGTACATGGCATCATGGTCGACAGGCTGCAGAGTGTCGCCGGCTTTGTAGATCGTGACGACAGGGGTGTAAACCCCCCGGGGAAGGGGCTTTGACTTGGAGGCGATGTTACTGGAAGGCATGATGGAAATGTCGAATTACTCAGATAATACAGACAGAGGCTTGTGATTTTGGCTGAGGATGTCACTCAGCGTTGTCAAAATCTTATCGTTTAAAGGTGAATCTTGGAATTAGTTTGCAGATTGAGCCTGGAAAACAACCCCTCATAATAGTGAGACTCCAACTCCGATGCTGCGGAGACAGATGCGGAGAAGCACTCGGCCAAGCAAAACGACGGACTGTTGCCGGATTGTCGACCGATTTCGCAATCAGGTTGGCAGCCAAACTACGAACTCGGGACATCTCTCGTCCAGTGACATTGTGCCTAATTGCTGATACGTAAGAAACAGAACAACTCGTTACGTGGGAAGTAGGAATCACGCACATCCGGGGCTGGTCCGGGACACTTGTGTGACGGCCCACATCGGCGAGAAAGCCGAACCATGGGGAATGGGCGGTGCGGAGTCGACAGGGATGCACCGCGGCGCTCGGCCATGACGGGGATGTCGCGATTTGTGAGGCAATCCGAACTGGCGGTTTTGCGAAAGCGCGGTCTGGAGTTGATGGGGCTTGGCAGGCGGTGGCGACTTGTCAAAATTGCTTTTCCATCATTCCGACAAGCAATATGTTTGCTCTGTCTCGACTTCGAGTGAAGTAGACGTGAGAGCTGAGGGGACTGGAGGAACATCATTTGACCACCGTGTTGTGATATCCGACCACCACCTTGAGACACCCGGTTCCCCCCAAACACGAAACACGATGGCGACGAAGGCACAGGAGAGCAACGTGATCAGCCTCACTGATCTCAGCAAACACAACTCCAAGACGGACTGCTGGATAGCTGTTCATTCCAAGGTTTGGGACATCACTGATTTCATCAGCGAGCATCCTGGAGGCCCTTCAGGTAAGTTTTCTGCCTTATCTGTTCCGGGTCATTCGTCTCACCGCTATGATGCTTTCCAGTCCTTCTTAAATGCGCTGGCTCGAATGCCACAAAGATCTTCGACAGTGTTCACGCACCTGATATTCTCGAAGAGCTTCCAGAAGAGAAGTTCATTGGCGTTTTGAAGGATGCCACTCCAGACGTTCCGGCTGCAGCATCACAGCCAGAAGGCCAGAATGGAGTAGCTACAGCTCCGGCGGAGGTTGCGCAAACACCTGGCTCGGCGCAAGAAGAGGACGTTGTCCCACCTCTGGAGACGATCCTCAGCGCCCCGGACCTCACAGCCGTTGCGTCTAAGGCTTTGACGCCCAAGACATGGGCTTTCTACTCTTCTGCCGCAACGGACCTGATAACACATACAAAGAACAAGGAGCTCACGAGGAGAATCATGATAAGGCCGAGGATTCTGAGAAATGTTTCCCATGTCGACTTCAAAACCAACATTCTTGGCTTCGAAAGCTCGGCTCCATTCTTTATCTCGCCAGCAGCCATGGCCAAGCTAGTGCATCCAGATGGCGAGCTCGCTCTGAGTCGTGGTGCAGCAAACGAGGGCATCATCCAGATCGTAAGTAGTAATTTTCTTTGCACATAATGCATGGTTACTAACCCGGATTCTAGATCTCAAGTAACGCCTCATACACTCTAAAGTCAATCGTTAACGCGGCTCCACCGAACCAACCATTCTTCTTCCAGCTCTACATCAATGCAGAGCGCCACAAAACAATTGAGATTCTGAGGTCTGCCAAGGCACTCGGAATCAAGGCTATCTTCGTAACAGTCGACGCACCTGTACCTGGAAAGAGAGAGGCCGACGAGCGAGCTGCTCAGGCAGGAACAATCCGGTCAGCAATCAGCAATGCTGAAAGCAGCAAGGATAAGAAGGGCAGTGGACTGGGACGTCTCATGGCTCAGTATATCGACAAGTCTATCACATGGGAGGACCTGACCTGGATCCGGGAGGCGAGTGGAGTGCCAATCGTGCTCAAGGGTGTGCAAACTGCGGATGATGTTCGCCTGGCCGTCGAGTACGGGGTCGATGGTGTTCTTTTGAGCAATCACGGAGGTCGTTCACTCGATGGGTAAGTTTCATTCGCACTTGCTTGTTGCGAGTGATGTGAGAAGCAGCTTGCGCTAACGAACGTCATATACAGCGCGCAAGCATCGATCCTCGTCCTTCTCGAGCTTAGAGAGCAGTGCCCCGAGGTCTTCGATAAACTCGAAGTATACATAGACGGAGGGTTCGAGCGTGGCTCAGACATCCTGAAAGCAATCGCATTGGGAGCAACTGCTGTTGGCGTTGGTCGGCCGTTCCTGTACTCCCTGGTTTATGGCCAAGAAGGAGTCGAACACCTGGCGCAGAGTAAGTCGAATGTTCTCCATACAAGCCAGGCTTATTTCCAAGCTGACTCAAATGTTACATCCAGTCCTGAAAGACGAGATCGAGACGTCAATGCGACTTTGTGGTATCACGAGCTTGAGCCAGGCATCGCCGGCAATGGTGAACACTCTGGATGTGGATTACATGGTCATGTCAGAGGCGCAATCGCGACAGAAGAGACCTCTCAGGAAGCCGCGGTCGAAGCTGTAAACACAGAAGACACAGAAGATTCTGTAAATAATATCTCTTATCATACCCATTTAACTGAGAATTCATATCAAAACCAAATTTTCCACTGATGATCCTTGACTGCAGTAGTTCGGTTTGAATAGACTCACACGTAGAATACGTCATAGTTATAATTTAATTTATGGCTATGACTGAGACTTCCCTGACAAAACATGGTCACATCTATTGATTCCTGACACCGAGCAACACATATAATTTGCTTTGTCATCTCACATCCATTAAACCATGTATCTACTAAGATAAGTACCTAGATATAGACAGCTAGGTAATACCCCAGTTTACTTCTTCAACGTCTTAGCAAAGGCTTCCACGGCTTCCAAGATGGGTCCATCCGGCTCCAGACCTAGACTGTAAGCCCTGGTAACATCATAGCGGGCCGGCCACGTGTCTACGATCGCCAGAATAGCAGGATCTTTCTTCTCCTCAATCAAAGTCAAAGCATCCTTTCCACCAACCTTCTCCACAGCATCCAGAATTTCCTGTACAGTGACAGTGATGCCAGGCAGGTTCACAACCCTGGAATCGCCAAACTTCTCCGCTGCAACATCCTTGACCTTGATAAGGTTCTTGACCACAGTAGCGGGACTGCAGACCCAAACCTCGAGGTCGCGGCTAACAGGCAGGACGTTCTTGATGCCCTTCAGCGTCTCGCGGACAATGCCGGAGGCGAAACTTGAGGCCGCCGCTGAAGGAGCGCCGGGTCTGACTGTGACGGTTGGAAGTCGAACAATGCGACCATCGATCAGACCGCGGCGAGAGAAGTCCTCCACGAGAAGCTCAATCATAAGCTTCTGAGTGCCGTACGAGGTTTTGGGCTTGGGCACGATCTCGCTTTCGCTGACGGGCTGGCGGGGGCCGTAGACGGCGCAGGAGCTGGTGAAGACCACCGTGGTGCCGGGATAGTTTTTGCGGAGGTGGTCGAGGACGGCCCGGACCGAGTCAAAGTTAACGGTGTATCCAAGCTCGAGATTGGCTTCGGCGCCCCCTGACATCAGCCCGTGCAGGAGGTAGACGGCAGCAAACTTCTTGGAGAAGAGGGAGGCCACCGCCGCGGGGTCGGTGAGGTCGGCCTTGAGGGAGTTGATTCTCCCGCTCTCCCCTGCTACATCGGCTGGTACTGGGGGCTGAATGACATCGGTGATTGTGAGCTGGTGGGAGGGATTGGCCTTGACGAGAGCGGAGACTAGCTCCTGGCCAACGAAGCCAGCAGCGCCGGTAATGAGGATCTCGGTTGACATCTTAGACTGGTTTTTGAAGATTTTGATGATGCAAACAGAAACTTGGTCTCGATTAACTGTGAGGCTTCTATGATGGAGAGCCACGATCTTCACCCCTCATTGCCCCTCCCCCTCATCAATTACTTTTAATCGTCCGATTTCGCTATGGTCCCACGGGAAACACTTGATTACGTTTTCGGGGTATCTCCTCATTCCCGCTGCAACTCGCTACGAAGTAGCCGAGCGTATCCGACGACATGCGGCAACGGAAATGCGCACCAACAAGCTGCCGTGTCGTCGTTCGGACAGGTTTCCGGCGCAGGATGCCCAATTTGGACATCGGCGAGAATGCCGACACGACTGGAGACTCGCGGCAATCCTCCGGATGGGTACTTCCCCGCACTGCGTGGGGCTTTAGTAAAGCAGGGGTTTGGGAGATTTTGGGCGGAGGAGTTGAGGCCGAGAATAGCGAGCGCGTGAGGGATGACGTGATGGGTGATAAAACAAAACCTCTCGATTGCTCGTCTGTAATCAGACGTGAGTGATACTTTGAGCTGGGCAAGCTTGAATGATCTAAGCATATTCTTGATACTCGACAAAGTTTAGGTCAAAGCAAACAGATAAGCAACATGGAATACGTGAGGTGAGCTCCCAAACTCTGGAACCACAAACTTGACCCCTCACTTGTTTTCCCCTGGGTTTTCACCTGCAGTTGTTGAATGAAATATTGAATCGTTATGTGGCCGGGGCTGGGCTTGGAGAACTCGTTGCATTGGTGCTAACAGTCACCTGTGGACAGGCTTGGGAACAGTGGCCTGAAGGTCTCCAAGATCATCCTCGGATGTATGGCCTTCGGCACCTCTCAATGGGAAGGCTCACCATGGGTCCTCGATGAGGCAGAAGGTCTGGAGTTGCTCAAGGCAGCTTACGATAACGGTATCAACACATGGGACACTGCCGACACCTACTCAAACGGTCATTCTGAGCTTGTAATCGGAAAGGCTCTCAAGAAGTTTAACATCCCTCGACAAAAGGTGGTCATCTTGTCCAAGATCTTCAACCCAGTAATGGACGACAACTCGAGGCCCGCGAGCGTCAACGATGGTCCTCTAGTCAACCAGATGGGACTCAGCAGGAAACACGTGTTCCACGCGGTTGATAAGTGCCTGGAGCGCCTCGGCACCGACTACATTGGTACGTCATCCTGCCATTCCAGGACGAAACCGAGGCTAACTGTGGCAGATGTTCTTCAGATTCACCGTCTTGACCGCGAAACCCCGCCCGAAGAGATCATGCGAGCCCTCCACGAAGTCGTTCAGTCCGGTAAAGTCCGTTACATCGGAGCGTCCTCCATGTACACATGGGAGTTCGCCCGTCTGCAGTACATCGCGAAGTCCAACGGCTGGACCGAGTTCATTTCAATGCAGCCGTTTTACAACCTGCTCTACCGCGAGGAGGAGCGCGAGATGTTGCCATTCTGCCAAGCGACCGGAGTGGGTGTCATTCCTTGGTCTCCGATCGCGCGCGGTATGCTCGCGAAGCCACTGGCAAAGGACAATGCGGACAGCACTTCGCTACGTGCACAGACGGACAAGAAGACACAGGCATGGTTTGCTGATGCAAACTTGGATATTGTAAGCCGCGTGGAGGAGGTTGCGAAGAGGAGGGGCGTCAGCATGGCACTCGTGTCTACCGCGTGGGTGCTCCAGCAGGGCTGCTACCCAATCGTTGGGTTGAATTCCGAGAAGCGGATTAAGGAGACGGTAGAAGCGCTGAAGTTCAAGTTGACGGAAGAAGAGTGTAAATACTTGGAGTCCGAGTACAAGGCCAGGGCCATTCAGGGCATGTAATTATAATTCAGTTGGCTGTTCTCCAAATATGCAATCTATGATACAAATTCACGCTCTCCTGGGTATCAATTTACCGAACCCCCTCAACCCTGGGTATTCATGTGTTGGGTCTTGACATCTGACACTCAACATTGGTGAAGTCTTGAGCCGGCAAGGTGGAACTTTCGGGGTTCAACGATGACAAGTCGAAGTTGAACACTGGCGATAAGCCAAAACTCATGTCATAGTCAAAGAAAAATTCTCCCTCAGAGCCGATGAATGTCCCGTCAATGCTCGGTGGCATTAGCTGTGGGTCGATTGTACCATTGACGCCGTTGGATGCAGGCAGTGCGTCGTGTAAGTGAGCCAATGAACCATTTTGGCTACGCTTCAACGTTGCCGCCATCCGCTCGAGACCTGGCGCCATGAGATTTGCAAGGTGCCATTTACCAGCTGGCAAAGACCGGAAATGTCTCACGAGACTTGTGGTCAAGTCCCAGACGCGGTCAGGCTCTATCAGATCCCCACCATACTTCACGGCCACCTTGATGAGAAACATGCATGCGAAGGCAGTCATGCAGTGAAGATACGAAGGCATGCCTATCACGCCAGCAGCAACATCCGGATCAGTCAAGATAAAGTTGATGGTTGAAGTTGCGACGGAGATGGCTGTTGCTGCGCAGTCAAGGAAGTGGTACGGTATTGGGTTGTCTCCGGACAGCCCACGAAAGATGTGTGAGTAGAGATGGAGTTTTGCAAAGTGGAAATGCAACTTGGCACCTTTTCGTGGAAAGCGGCCAATGTTTTCTGACTCTTCTGTGAAAAGGATTAGCCCGTGTAATTTGTAGCTTGAGAACGCTTTCTTACCTGGCAACGTTTCAGACCAATGCTTTAACCAATGGTCAAGTTCCTTGTTAAATTGCGTGATCTGATGGACGTAGGATCTCGGCGTCGGTTGCCCCTTGTCTGGACCGAACAATTCTCGAATGCTGCCTATTATTCCTAGGAGCGCCACCTGACTGGCAAGACGTTTGTCCTGCTCGTTCGATACTGGGGACGCTAGAAAGTTCTCCCACTGTTGCATCGACGAGTCTTCTTGGACAATTGCTGGCCTCCCGTACAACGTAGCCAGGTGCTGGTCGCAAACATTGAGGATATACCACAGTCTTGCTCCATCAGCAGCTTCTTCACTCTTCTCCTCGATGGCGCGAGTATAACTGTTGTGCAGGTTGCATTCGGCTGCTCGTCGGATGGCGTAGCCTGACAACATCCATGACACATCGCTGAGCCAGTACGAAGCAACACACATGGCCCGAAGATAGTCTCGGTCTACGCGACGGTCAAACATTGATCTTTCCGTCAGGCGACGGAACTCTGAGCTGCATACACCATAGATCCCGTTTGCTTGTGGATCATGTAGAGCGGCGACGGTCAGAGTTGCGGCGGTGAGGATTGAACTCCTTCGTCGTAATTCATCGAGCTGCTGATACTTGCACCCTACCCCGTACATGAAAGGGTCGAGCCGATCGCGGTAGAGACGGAAAAGCCGTTCGGCATCGTCGAGCCGGATAGCACCGCGGGCAATGAAGTCATCAAGGGCAGGACTTGAGTGTCCCTCAGGAGCATCCGGAGATCTTAGGGCTCGTAGTTTGGTGAGGGCGTATAGTGAGTGGATCGGTACGTGAGGGAGATTCTCGTCTTCGGGAGAGATCTTGGGGGAGTTGTCGCAAGAAGGGCCATGGTTATCCTGCCCCGATACACCAAGACGGTAGCCATTGCCATTGGTGGTTGATGCTGGTCGGCCGTTTTGTGAAGGAGAGTCTGTTGAGTTTCTCAAAGTTGTGCTCTGAAGCGCAGCAGGTTCTGATGCCCCAACCTTCTTGGCGATCTCTTTGAGTGTGGCATGGAGACTTTCGATGTCTTGCAGGACAGTCTCGTTGTATCTATGTTGGATGTCAGTGAGAGGGTCACCTCGAAGCTGTCGATCAGAATAGTCATTACTGTGTCTTCTCATCAATGATGCTCTGTAAGTTCTTGCCAAGAACGCAACCCAGATTGCGTTCGGAGCACCGACGACATGGTGGACCGCTCTCATCCATCAAGCATTTGATCTGCGTGTGCACAGTCAGCAAGGGGTCTCTGGAGGTTAGAGCATAACAAACCTTGTGTTTGCGGCATGCTGCACAAGCCTTGATTTTCCGGGATATTTGCGGAAAAGATCCTTCCCCGTTGCCGGCAGTAAACAACTAAAACCCGGGGTCAGTCTTTCACTCTCGCGACACGTCAAGGGCGGAAAGTACCGTCATGAATTCCATGCCTTCATTGGCATCAGACCAGCTGCGTTTCGACATGACCTGTGATGGGCACTTCTCACGCAAGAAGGCGGCGACTTTGTCGATTCAAGGGTTCTAGACTGTAGTTGGAGTCGGTCGTGAGGAGTGGAAGAGGAGAAGTTCGGCTCCAAAACACACGCGTTGAGCGGCGCCGGGCGACTGGGTGGTCGGCACTTGTGTGGAGAAGGAGACAGGGGTGAGGGCCTCTCAACGTCAGGTGTTTCCCCGCGGCGGATTTGAAAGCAGTTGGAGATGATTGAAGGCGACGGAACGAACCCCGCTTCCCCGCATGACCCCCGCAAGTGGACAACATCGTGAAGGGGCTTCATTCTTTCCAGCTTATTACCAGATCCCGTTCAGGTATGATTAAGCGCCTGGGATCTCGAAGGTTTGGTTACCTTACGTCTTGAGGCAAGCACTATTGTATGACAAGAAATTCTGTACTACGCGTGAAGACATAGTAATGAATATTGATGGATTAGAACTAGTGTGTTTACACTCTTGTGGTGAGTTGTCAGTCTTTTCTACTATGGTGGCAGTCATATGCAAGACGAAAGAAGATAGATGTGTTGATAAGTCTCCTGATTCCAGAACGCTATCGGCCAAGCCTTGTTTGACTTACAATCCCATCTAACACCCCATACAAACATCAGTCACAGTCACAGTCATAGTCAAAGTCACGCACACACCATGGCCATCTCCATCCTGCTCGCAATCCTCAAAAGCTCTTTTCGGCCCCCGGCCGGAACTTCGTGGACCGCCGGAGATGACGTGGGTGGATACTACCGCAACTGGGGCTTCACCATCTACCGCACCGCTTACGGCCCGGCTACCGACGCGCAATGGCGCACCCTTCAGGACAAGATCCGGGCCCAGGCCGTTTCCGAGATAGACGGCTACGTTGAGGCCAGCGAGGAGGACGTCGCCGCCCAGCTCAAAACCCTCTTCGTCCTCGACGCCCGCTCCGACGTCGCCCTGCTCACGGACAAGACCATGGACGAGGTGCGCGAGATTTACAAGCAGGCAGCGGTGGCCAGTCGCAGCTCCGGCAACGGCTATGACAATGACAACAGCCAGTCGCTGCCCCTCATGCACGACGGCCCCAACCAGCGCGTGTTCCTCCTTGCTGACGCCGAGGTGCTAGAGGCCGTCGATCAAGACCCCTACTTCTGGATTAAGGGCGTCGACGCTGATTTCGCTGAGAGAGATTTGGCCAAGACGAACGGCGCCCCAGGGGCTCAGGGGACGGGTAGGGCAGCAGCCGGGGTGTGGTCTGGTTGGATGAAGATGACGACCCGCAGCATGGTCGATTTGTCTGCAGAAATGCTGGTGCGCGATTTGGCTAGCATCGCGCCTGGTGCGAGGGCCGCGGACGAGAGGCCTGTGTACAACGGCGAGCTGACCGGGTCGTCGCTGACGAGCAAGATGTCGAGCGGCAAATGAGGCGATGGAAGGGAGGGCCGCGAGGACCCTGAACATTGAGAGGCTTGGGGAAGATAAGTATGAATCACGGGATGGACTTAGATGGCTTTTCAGCATCATCAACATTTTCCTCTAGCCAACGAAGTCAAATTCAGAGGTGGGTAATAAATTACACAAAGGTTGAAGAAGCTCATGCTCATGGTGCCCGACCGAGCTATTGCGCCGCTTCGAAGCCTGGTCAACAGCCAGTATCTGTATGCAGTCTGTATGTGAACGACATCCCCTGACAACTTCAGTGAGGGCGGAGTAAGAGGCTTGCCTTCCAGCCGCAGCATCGGTCATGGAATTGCAAATGAGGTTACCGTCAAAGGTGTGTTCCACTGCAAACCTCTGTCAAAATTCATTCAGACACAGGAGAAGCCTCGGTGGTCGCTGATTAGAATTCGTGGAATTGTCCATTATTGCCGCCAATCAGGGTCGCTACCGGGTTTGCTACGTGTGTAAGTCGGAGGACATGGTCTTATGTCCGCTTCCTCAACCAGCCGTGCGGTCTTCACGCTTTCAGCGACAGCCGTGGCCTGGCCCAGCCTGGGTACTCGTTCGCGCCAAGTCTGGCCGCAGGCGGAGTAGACAGATTGCGATGCCATCATTTCAGCGCGACCCAGAGCTTTCCGTTTAGTCCTTTAGATAAGCAACTTATGCAGCTGATCCGAATAGTGAGGTTTCATACTGTGACAGATTCCACATGGAACGCGGTCAAGTCGTCGTGTTGGAATATTAAAGGGACGACACCGACGCCGGCAGCGGATACACGGCTAAGTCTTGCGGTAGTCGTTCCAACTACCGGACGGCAGAATTGCAACGGTCAGGGCGAGCATCAGTGGGGTAAGTTAATAGATCTCCTGCTGTAGATTCAGCATTGCTGATCGGGTCATTGACAAATACGCCGCATCCTGGGCTATCTCTGAATTCGGTGACATTTAAGCATGTATGGCCATGCTGCAGAAATCGGACGACGGCACATACCGAAGATCCAGCGTCGGTCGAACTCCCCGGCGTGATCTGCCGGACTTACCGCTCAGTGGCAGTTCTTGATACCGCCACTGACGATCGGCTGAACTTTTCGTTGGCCGAGCACACTTAGACGTCTGACACCTGTCCCAATCGGGAATGAAGCGTTCGAGCTACCCCTTTCGAACCGCCGTCCTTCGTATATCGCATTCGATACGAGCTCGCATAAAGAGCCCCAGATTCACCCAATCTTATTTGACTGTCTTGCGTGATCCATTCCGACAGCGCCCTTCGCAATATTGTTTCTATGAGTATCCTAGGATGGAAACGCCTAGCGCTGCTATTTGCAAGAAAACCTCCCGTCGGAACCACACAAAATCACGCAGTGGCTGTTCGGATTGCAAACGTCGCAGGGTAAAGGTATGTGTTGTCGAGTGGACGTTGCGCGATCATAGCATGGCTTAACTGAAAACCTCATAGTGCGATGAAACATGGCCTGCGTGTTCCCATTGCGCTCGACGCAAAGTCTCATGCAGTTTAACATATGCGAAACCCCTCTCCCCAGGAGGCTCTCTGTCGTCAGAGCTCAGGCACAGTCCCAATCGTCGACATGTCCGATCAGTTTTTGAGGCTATTTTGATGGTCAACCGCTCACCAAATTCAGACTACGGCGATGCCGTGATGTCCTACAACACACCCAAGTTCGACTTTTCACGTCTTTCTGATCCCACTTTCTCGTCACTTTCAAACAGTCGAGACCAGGAGTTGATGCATCATTTTTGCACCCTCACTGTACACTCAATGGCCACGCGGCCGGACGTTCTCCATATTTGGAGGACTGTAATTCCCCAGTCATGCTATGAAAATGACTTTGTTCTTCACGGCATCTTAGCCCTGTCTGCAGCGCACAAAGCGTATCTCCTTTCAGGCAATCGACAACTCTATCTCAACCTATCCGACTATCATTTCAATATTGGGTCAGAAACCTTCCGTTCCCAGCTTTCGGACGAGGATGAGCGCAAAAAGAATCAGAAACCTCTATTTCTGTTCGGTGGCGTTGTCATCATTCACATCCTGACATCAACTTTGCGTACGCACAATTCAGAAACGGAAGCCATCGAAAACCTAGTCAGGTTGGCAAGAGCTATCAAGGGGTTTCGTGTCATTATATTCTCATGCCTCTCATGGAGTGCCATGACCGACCTTGCTGCATTGGACTCTGGATCCCGGCCCTTCACGTCAAAGGAACTCGGTGAGATGTACGAGATGAACCTTCTCCCCATCGATCCATGCGCAATCGTTGACTGACCGTCAAATATGTAGGGAACTCTCAATACGGAACACAAACCTACCTTGTGACATCCTAGACGCTCTTGAGGATCTTCAAGCATGTCAAACAAAAGATGCTCCCCCTGGGCCAGAAAATCCCTATGAGAAGGCTACATTGGGCCTGAGAGACATCGTCAAGACCCTAGCAGCTTGCGGCGCATTCTCAGAGGCAGGCATCGTCCTACGCTGGCTGTATTTCCTTGATGCAGAAATTCTGGCAGACATCGAGACGCTCCAGCCGACAGCCTTATTGCTTGTAGCTCATTTCGCGGTGATTGTGGCATCCATGGAGAACACGGTATGGTATCTCAACGGCTGGGGTGAAGCAATTATCAGACAGGTGGATCAGCTATTGGAAGAGGACTCGAAGGAGAGAAGCGTGTTTGCATGGGCAAAACAGCAAATGCCACACATAATACCTTAGTTGACTCATTCAAGTGAGCCTCAGCGTACTGACATTGAATGTTTCTATTCTGCTTCAGAAATCAATTCTGCTCCATGAAGCAAACCTCGTATTGCCAACAAGCATTTGCCCTAATTTAGCGCCAAGCCAACAATTTCAACCAATTCGGCACCAGCCAGGTGAGTCTGAGACCGTTGTGGGCTTAGTCGGGGCTTAGCTTCGGGGCGAAGGGAAGTGAAAGACCCCGAAGCCCGAAACAAAACTTCTGCTCTTCGGGCGGATAACATTAACTATCCGGCCGGTAATGATAATAGGACATCAGTAGTAATAATGATGAAGACGGCGAAGACAATAATAAAAGCGATGATGATGATGATGATGATGATAATAATGAAAGGCTTCCTCTTCTGATATAGCTTAAAGCCAGTGTTTCGCCCGGTTAGCTGGGAGTATCCGCCCGGGTAGGAAAACCCCAGAACAAAAGCCAAACGAGGCACCCGAATCTAAGTGGAGGGCAATTTCGAATTGGAGAAGGAAGTGGATAAAGCATAGAGAAAGGTGGCCTTGCATTACGTCTGATATCAGGGGCAATCTTATAGGGTTATACGGAAATGATTTCCGAGCAAGCTCCAGCTTTTGTATATGAACTCAAGAGTACTTTCACATGATACAGCATCTCAATGAAAGAGCCAATTTGTTGCCCAAAATCTAGGGGAGGCGTCGTCACGTTTGTGGAAGTGATGGGTTGAATGATGACAACTGACAATCGCCGAAAGGAATAGTATAAGGTCCTTCGTATTTGCCTGAACTACAGACTCTGAGGCGAATCAATGGCGTCGTCGGTTTCCAATGGGAAGCTATGCCAAGCTCTCCCGACCAGATCTTTAGTAGGCCCCGCCCGCGGCCAGACCATCTCAACAATCCACAGGAAAATGCCTCCTACTTCTTCTATAGGATCCTTGTCACGTCGGTATATGTACTTGTCATCCTGGCCAGGGATCACAAAGTATTCTGCCCTATTGTCCGAGTTGACAAAGCGCCACGCAATCCATAGAAGACCGAGGAGTGAGCAATACTCTCCAAAAGCAGTCCCAGTGTCGTCTTTGTTACTCAACTTGATTTGGTCGTACCCCGTGACGTCAACTTGTAGAAGTTCGAGAGAAAGCGCGCCACTCCGCTGCTTGGCCGCTGTGATCACTTCGACGATTGAGCGCACCAATCGTGCATCGACTGCCGAGTTAATGACGGCGGTCTTCAGGGCGCCTGTTGAAAAGCCCGGGTCCTTATTTGCCGTCACTCGCCATATCTCCCTCTCGAACACGCCGTAGGCATAGTCTTCTACACCCATTGATTCCAGGGTCGCGCGACTAATCGGAGGTGGCCGAGCGACAAGTGTGATGGACAGGTCTCGCAGGCGCTTGAGCTTGCCCAGAGCTCGGTACGACGCCACCTCTGACGCATTTCCCTTGCGCCTGGGGATGCGCAAGGTAAGACACTCCACAAGCGGACTCCGTGCGGCGATTTCCAGAATATCCTTCTCTTGAAAGACGCGAGAGTTGTACGTTGCCAGATCCAATGTCCGTAGACAAGGGCCTAGAACAGAATCCAAAGCGATTTCAGAACTGAAGCCGCCTATTTTGAGTGTCACCAAGTGTGAGGATACTCTACGCAGGGCGTCCGCGACGACGTTCCAATACGAGCGGCGGTCGACATATGGTAACGCTATGTTCAAGTGCACCAGGGACGTGAGATTGCACTTTGCGAGCTCTTGAAGCGCTGGCACCTCCAACATCTTCAACTTGAGGACTCGTAAAACGGACATGTCGGTAGATTCCCTCCACACTTTGATCACTTCGTCTGACACGTAGAACCCTTGATCCATTTCGATGGATGTTAGAGACGCTAGCGATTGAGGAAGGTCGAGATGGCTGACAGCCTCCCAGGGCTCCGGAGGGAAAGACTGCGTGCTTTCGTCGGGTACGTCGGGTACGGGACGCAAGTGCACCCTTTTCAGATTAGGGGCCATTCTAGTCACATATCGCATCACAGCGGAGTTGTGTATGTTGTTTGGGTTTGGCTCTTCGTTGTTGTTAAATCGTCCGTAGTCTCCGTGGCTGTTTGCGTACGAGTATCTGATGCTGTGCAGGCATGGCGAGCTTGCCAGCCGTAGCTCGTGGTCAGTCTCTTCCGCGTCCAGAACGGCCGCAAGGCCGTGTCGGTCTTTGATGCTATGCAAGTGAAAATTGCGCAGGTGAAGCCTGCAACTGGGATGGTGCTCGTGCAAAGCGGCGAGCAGGCATGGCGGGAACTGATTAGGGCATGCGTAGAGAAGCTCTTTCAGTCTTGGAAGCCTCTCGATGAGTTTCGCGAGGGGTTTCCAGAACTCGTTAGGTACTTTGGCCATCGTGTACTCGTCCCAACCATAATCTACGCCGTTGTGGCCAGGGTCGTAAGATTCTTGAAGCCAGCCATCAATTCTAGTTTCGTCATCGACCCTTTCCGCGGGTGAGATTCGAGGCTTCCAACCGTCCCCCTTTGAGCGGGTAGAGCTAGCTGCCTTCGGGTGGACAAAGTCGGGGGCGGAACGACGCCCGCCACCACGAGTCGACGAACGTGAGCAAAATTATTGTCCCGGTCCAGGGATCTGTAGCACTGCGTGACATCCTGTTCCAAGTACCCGGGGTACTGGTCGAGACCGGTGACTGCGAACTTGACGGTTCTCGCCAAGATGGCACTGGCCACGGAGCGGTATTTTTTGTTGGTCAAGGAGAACTTGGCAAGACTCTTAACGAACCCACTTTCGTAAATGAACTCGCATATTGTAAGGAGCTCCTCTGTGGCGAGCGAATCGAGTGAGGCTTTTGGCGGTGGCATCTTGTCACCTTCAATGAGAGGTTGCTGTTTTGATGTGTTGCGTGCAGGTCCAGCTGGATCCATGTTGCTGAATGGGTCAAGCGTCGCGTCATGTTACATTTACGCGTTAAAGTGGTATCCGTTGGAGTATACACTTCTATCCAGAGGCTTCCTAGGTTATACATGCAATTAACGTTATTTCTTATCGCATCAAAACACTTAGAAGAATAAAAGATCATCGACAGAACCACTTTATCTAGTCTGCGATCTTGTCAAGAGATGATGACGTAAATGTCCACTATTTTCAAGCCTAGATGCTGAATGAATATGCCACAGGGGATCAGCAATCAACTTCTGGTTTCCTCAGAATCTGCTTGGCCAGAGATCTTCTTTGACCATTTCTTTGAAAACAAGTGTCAATGTTTCCAAATACTCGAACTGCTGAATGACACTGGTTTGAAGGGTCTATGCATCACCACAATTTCTCCAAATGCCGTCTGTACGAGTTGTTCAACTTGCCTAAACCATCGATCAGTCACAGCAACTATCGACTCACTAAGGTACCTTAATGAGTCTTAAGTCTATATTCTGGTGTCATTCAGTAGTTGATTGAATAGTTCAGACGTGACCCTACGCATACGCATACGCTGCAGGTACACTGCAGCAATTGACAAGATGCCCTGGCCAAGTCACTGAAAATTGCTGTTGGGGTTCTCCATTCGCGGACTCGCCTCGCAAGGACTTGTTTTAGTTGAAGTCCTTGAGGCCCAAGAAGAGGATGTTCGTCGACTTTAGTAGTTGGAAGAGTAAGTGATCAGCATGTCTAGACTCAGCAGCGGTGTGCGAGGAAAACGTATAACGAGCCTAACTCCTCTCTCGGTCGGAAATGTCTTTCTCGAAATGCAATGCATAGCTTCGCCAGCCACAAAAGATCCAGGAAGAGTTATATTCCTCGAGAGCCGAGCGAAGGAATGCAGTTCATGTTGTATCGCGTGGGAATCCCGATTCTATGGTCAAGAACGCCATTTGGTTGTTTTATCGCCGTCGATGGAAGCCAGCTGGAAATTCAAAGTCAACGCCTTTTCATGCCTTTCATGAATCACGGTAGTAGTAGGACCAGCCTGAATCAATGATGCCATTGAGAAACGTAGCCAAGCCGGCGATCGGCTTCCCGAAGAGCTCAGCAATGTGATTATGGAACAAGAGTTCGGCAAGGAGCTCAACACCGAGTGTAGTCTTGATTGAGCTGAGCGCCACTGTGCTCGCGATTAGAACGACCAAGCAGTCTGTCTCGGTGTCGCGGGCCACGGGGGCTTGCTGTGCGATGACGGTGACAGCCGATCACGTAGGCGAAGGGGCCAGCCCAATTCACCCCTTCGGTGAGCCGTTGGGCAGAGATTCTGCTGCGATTGTGGCCAGAGGCTGCTGTGGAAGTCGCGCAATTCTTAGAGACAGAGCCTCCCTTCCAAACACGGAATCGAACATAGGGTGAATGACTCTGGCCTCGGGCCCACGACCAACCAGAGCACGCCGTTGAAAGATCTAAGACTGGGTTCAGGTGAGAGGGCACGCGAAATCCGAGTTAGTGGAGAGCTGATTCGAAGACATATTTGTAGCAGGCGAATTCCTAGGAGAATTATCAGAGACGGGTCTAGACACAGAGATTAGACGGGGCAACAGCTGTTCCGTGGGATTATTGTTTCGAGAGGTGTTCATAGTGATGCATAACCAGAGAGGGTTATGTTGTTTTCCCGCAGTAGTAATCCCACCGGCGTTGACGAGCTATTTGGATCTTCTTCAGCCAGCCATCAAATGACGGGATGCTACCCAAAAAGGAGGGAGGAAATGGTTCACCATAGCCGCTTAACAACCTCAGTCTGGCCCTTTAGGCTGCGGCCGTGAGTTGTGATCTTGGGATTGCCCTACTGCAGGCCGTGCAGCCACGCTCGTGTCGATATGCGTGGCGATCGTGTGGGCTATGCACGTAAGCCGGCGGCCTGTCACTATTGTCACCATCGTGTTTCTGCGATCTGACACAGACCAGAGCTTTTTTGGCGATGATAGACGCGGCAGAGGGAGAAGCGAAGGCTCAGCGCGACCCTCGCAACCTCGCTCCCGGGATGCCGTGCAGACCGCCCCGGATGAGACCCCCGAAGCCGTTCAGAGCTTAGCTCGAACCCAGGGACCCATACCATGTCTTGCGCGGAGAGACGGAGATGACGGCGTCAATCCATCCCTCTTTTTCGAAATCAGATCAAGACAGTGCCCTCTATGAGCTGAGTGAAATTGCTTGTGATGGACCCAGCGAGAGGGGCGGTCTGGAATTCAGCCGCCGTTTTTGTTGTGGAGGAGCATGCTTCAACCCACAGACTTGGCTCATGCTCTGGAGTTGCCGAACATTCAGCTCTCGGCACGAGGATTTCGGAGCGTCTTCCATACGGAGTGCGAGATTTGAGGCTTAGATCAGGCGTTTCTGGAATGCACGCTGGAGAGAAAACGGAAGTTCAGCTCTCCCAAAGATTTAAGCATGAAGATGCATGGAATCTGCCAAGTCGACTACGAGCACGAATTGGCGATTGGGGGGTCGCATCTGCCGCAAACACATAAGGCTTAGCAAAATCGACTGGCACGTCATTTACCACCCGACCGGTTCTACGATTTGACATTTCAACTCGTCTGTTGATTATCTGCCGTCAACATATCCCACAGGGAGGAGGCTCAAACCACTGTTCCTCTCACCATTCTCTCGATTTCTCAGCTATTTCGAGACGAGACTCGCATAACGCCATCGAAAAGGCCGTGGCGCCCGTCTCCTCCGAAGACACACACAATGCAGGGCTTCTGAAGACTTCACACACGTTCATCAAATGTGACTCGCACGTGCAGGGCGGGACTCTTCCTCCCGGATCGACATGGCGACCCACGGGCGACATGCTTTCTTTTTGGTGATTTCCCATATGCAACCTGCGTGCTTCCAGACCAAGTTTTCCTTTTTCAGCCAATAAGCTGCATGGGATACGGCCACAAACCCGAGTCTCCACGGCTGAGAAGCTTCTCCCTTTCCCACACACACCTGTTTTTTTCTCTCTCTCACTAATTCCTTCCAACGCATTGTCCCTGCCAAGATGGCTCCGCGGTGCTATGAGCCGATGACTGCATCTCGGACAACACCGTCAACAAGAACCCTTGCAGGCTGCAGCCAGAGAGACGGGTTCCTTGCAGCACTTTCAACCTGAAGCAGCGCCTAGCATACTAGTCGGCGTGGTTTAGGCGAATGCCTTGGCTACCTCGCAGGTTCCCGCATGTTCCAAGGGCAACATTCCCCCCCACTCTCGCAAGAGTATGCTTATCTGACTATGGGCCGCCTCCACTTCTCCCCTCCGATGCTCCGATGAGCCAGCCAGAGGCTGAACGAACGGGTTTCTGCGTAGCGGCGATGCCCATCCGCACGCGAGGTAAAGGCAGCACGCTGGAGCTAGTCAAGCCATATTCGCTAGCGTCCGCAAGCCTGGTCTCGTAAGGCCTGGAGAGCCGGCTCGGGGACACAGGGATGCGATTTCTTATGTCTTGATGGGTCATAGAGAAAAGCAACTGTTCATGGTGTTGAGTTCTTACCACTGCACTACCTCATGGCAATATGGGTGAAGCAATCGCGAGATGAATCCAAGGGAACAAGGAGTCTGAGACCCGGAAAGACGCCATATTGTTGGCGGACGTGGTGGCCGATGTTCGCCCCCATCCCTTGGGAATGGAAGACGCCTTCCGGTCCTTGATTTGGGCGTTGCTTCTCGTGATGTCTACTGTATTTCGGCTGGTATATATCCTGGGGTTTTCTCGCGGTCTTTCCTCGATTGTTTTCCTCTCCATCCTCATCAGCGCAGTCATCTCCTGCATCTCCTTCTTTCGACAAGCTCTAGTCAACCCATTCCTTCGTTTCAACCCGAAGCTTCAAGGGCTCCAGTCTTTAGAGGACCTCCAGTTGCAGCAGCCATGAAGACAACTACCGCCGCCGTGTTGGCCTCCCTTTTCGGGATGGGCGTTGCCCAGTGTGCCAGGGACAACTGTCTGCGAGGTATGTGTTCATCCCATCTCACCCATGCTTCCCACGCGTCCCATCCCGGGAGATCTCGTCTATAGGATCGACAGCTAACACTCCACTCTCTAGCCATCGCGGCCAGTGCTTTCCCGACCCGAAGCGGTACTGCGGACTGCTCTCGCTTTCTGCAGGTCACTGCCACTGCCAGTGCCGTGTAAGCTTTCACACCCCTGAGCCACATCACTCTTTCTCTGACACGATCGTCTCCAGGACCGCGACCGTGACCGTGACCGCCCCCACCTCCGGTGTCTTCACTTCAACCTTGACCGTGAGCGAGTCCGGCGCCGCCGGCTCCGTGGGCACCAGCACCGTCCTCGAGACCACGACCTCCACCGCCACCATCACCGATGTCATCGGAACCACCGAGGTCGTCACTGCTTCCACCGAGACCGTCATTGTCCCCACCACCGTCGTCGTTTCTTCCACCAGGACTCTCTTCTTCGGCACCACTGAGATCGTCACCGTTGCTACCGAGACGCAGACCGTCGATGCCACCATTGCCGTCATCAAGAAGCGCCAGGTCGCCACCAACATCCCGACCTATGCCTCCGCCTGCAGTGGCTTCGCCCGCTACTCTTCGGCCTGCTCCTGCCTCGGTGTCACGGCGCCCACGAACACCGTCGCTCCGGCTACCGTGACCACGACCACGACCGTCCCGGCCACCGTCATCTCCACTGCTGTTGTCACCGTCACCGTCACCGGCGACGCTGCTCCCGGCTCGACCGTCCTGACCACGAGCACCGTCACCGAGACCGAGCTTGCGGCCACCACGGTCACCTCCGCCGAGACCACCTCCGTGACCGCTACGACTGAGATTGGCAGCACTTCCACGGACTTGATCGAGGAGACCACTTCGCTGACCAGCACCTTCATTTTCAACGCTACCTTCACCACCTTCATTACCCGCACCACTTCTCTGCCGCCTGTCGTGAACAGCACCACAACCACCGGCATCAGCTCTACTGCGGACATTAGCTCTTCCATCTTC